TTTAGTAGTCAGGTGTCAAAAATAAAACTAGCATGGGATTTATTAGTGTATTGAACTTTGACATCTAATCTTCAACATGACTAGATAATGCAGGAGTTGAAGTGATATCATCACTTTTCTTCCTCTTTTCTTCCCATGTTTTGCCCTGCCTTTCTTTGGTTAGCTTTATTCTCAGCAGGCTCTGTCCTTATGGAGGTAGAGACAGGCACCAGCTAATCTTTATGTCTCTGTGGTAGGTATTCCTACTGAAAATAGTGTATGCTCTTTCCCTCTATTTCTATATCAGTTCTTTAAAAAGTGCTTGAACTTCCACCCATTGACCAATCGCTGTGACCAGAAAGATACTTTAGTCTGGCCAATCTTCCTGGCAGGAAAATTAAGACCATTTTATTGACTCCTAAAAGAATGCAAGGCATGCAAGTATAGGATGGCCACTGTGCCCTGTTTGGTATATAGAGTGTTTGACAGACATAATGGTAGCCATGAGTTTAAAAATAATATTGGTGGTATTCGTTGCAGGTGCTTTATGTCCACACATCTATGATTGTAGCAGCTTTTATAGTAGTAATTAAATTTATTTCAACAAATACCTTTTGAGCACATCAGGGTTGCTTGTCAGGTAATATAAAGATGAAAAAATATATGTCTATCCTGTATTGAATTTCTAAACTTGTTGGAAGTAGTAAGGGCAGGAATGTTAGAGGCGTAAACAATTTTCAAAGCAAAGAAATCATGAGAGACATGCAAAGTGTTATGATTGTTCTAGAAGAATGGGGATATCTTGTGGTCACAAAAGGCTTCCCCATCTCGTTTAATAATTTTAGTTAGAGTGGCAAAATGGAACATGAAAGGACTGGGAGATGATTCAGGGAATGGGATTTCATATGAGCCAAAGCAGAGAGAAGGGAAACAATGGAGGCTTGGTGAGTTGGATTGGATTACAGGAGAGTGGTCTGACATTTGGAGAAGATGAAGATGAGGTAGGTGCCAACTGTATTGTAGAACGACCCTGTCAGCCTGAACAATTTGTGTTTGAAAACCACTGATTTAAAAAAAAAAAAAAAAAAGCCAGTGAATGGCTTGGCCTTAAGAAGCAGTCTGAGCAATGTTTTTTTGTTTTTGTATTTAAATAAGAAAATTGGCACCAGTGTGTAGGATGAATTGGAGCTGGGAGAAGTTGAAGGCGGTGGAGGCTATGGAATTGTCCTCTTGTGAATGAGGTAAAGATTACTTGAAGTAGGCTGTACAGAAGTAAAAATGCAGATTGAGAGATGAACGTTGTTGAGGCTTTGTGGAGGCAGAGTAGTTGGAATAGTCTGAGAAATGCTTCAGTCATGAGCAGTAAGGAGGAGGGTTGTACTCATCACCGAGTGAGCAGGGAGCAGCAGGGAGAACCACATGGGGGAGATGAGTAAGATGATTTTTGTGTTAGCTGTGTCATCTGTCAGGTAATATAATACAGGTTGAGTATCCTTTATCCAAAATGCTTGGGACCAGAAGTGTTTCAGATTTTTTTTTTTTTTAGATTTTGGAATATTAGCACTATACAGGTTGAGCACCAAAAATCCAAAACTTTGAGATCCACAATGCTTCAGTGAGCATTTCCTTTGATTGTCACATTGGCACTCAAGAGTTTCAGATTTCCAATTTTTTGATCGGAGTTGCTCAAACTGTTTTATTTTCCAATGCTGTTTATCGTTCCTGGATATATTTTTCAATATTATACATTTACACAGGGAAAAATAATCATCATATTCCATTAGTTTTTCACAGAAAAACAGACATTTTGCATACCTTTAAAATACGTTTTTAAAGATTTGGCTAATAAAGTTAAACATTGCTTGTAGTGATGATGTCTAGGTACTTTTTTCCTGGTGATTCTAATTATATAAATATAGTATAGAATGTCCCCAAGTATGATTTTGGGAATATCATAATAGGAGAGGTTGCTAACTATTATGATGGGGAGAACTCCTTTATTATATATAGCTAGCGAATATGAAGGTAAGCAGGATTTTTCAGTCTTTAATGTATACATTGTTAATGTATTTGGTGAGTTGGTAAGAGGAGAATACAACATGTGTTTCACAATCATGTTTCACAATTTTTTTGGAGCATCACTTGTGACTAATATTCCATAGAACAGATTTTGGAAATAGTACAGTATTAACTGTTGCTAATAATGTGTGAGAGTATGAGTAGCTATAAGTTAAATATAGAAATTTACATTTTACTATGAAACTAACTTGTACCAGATTTAATTATAATAACTCTTCTGTAATGTATGAAATTTACTGTTTTATTTTGGAAGATATATTTTTGGCCTAATTGGAAATTCTCTCTTTGAGTTTGCAGTATAAAGTCCTGAATAGCCATGGCATCCCAAGAGGCCATGGATTGACTACCTCTGCATTAGAGCTAATGATATAATATATCCACACATGGTCACATCTCAATTATCTCCTTGGAATAAACTAAGGAGAACGTTTAAATTCCAAATGGTTTTCTTCTTGTCTGTAACATGCCTCAAGGCTGCCTTTCTCCTGAGTATACTGTCATTTCATATGTATTCAGAAAATTCAGTTTAGTTCAGCCTTTGTTGTTCCTATTATGTGTAATGCAATGTCAGGAGTGCAAATTTATTTCAAGATTAGCTTCACATACATAGTGTGCTGAATAAATGTTTGTTCAGTGCATGCATTGTGTTTTTGCTTAATGATTCCATTCTACAAAGAATCATCTCAGTTATGGACCTGAATTCTCTACCATATTTTTCTCTAAATTCCTTCTTCCTTAGTTTTCACGGGTAACATTATCTGAGGAACATAGCCAACAATGTCACCTTTGGTGGCCCTGCTCTTTATTTATAATATTTGAAATCTACCCTGGGGAAGTCATTGGTCTCATCACTCGAAGGGGAGACAACTGCCTCACCTTCGAGTGAAGATGGAGCCAACCATCTTTTTATTTAGCATCATCTGACTTTTTAAAATATATTTCCTTCAAGTGCTAATTTTGTTGTTGTTGTTGTTGTTGTTTGAGGTAGATTAAGTGGAGGAGGCGATTCTGTGGAGAGAGAATGTGGGACGGTGGAAAGAGCATGGGCTTTGGAATCAGATTAAAATTTGGATTTCAGCTGCATCACTTAGTTATTTGACTTCAGTCAGATTCTTAACCTTTGAGCCTCAGTCACATCTGTAAAACTGGGAACCACGCTTACATTTTATGGGGGCTGTAAGGAATATAGTTGTGAAAGCCCACGCACATTATAGAGGCACAATAAATGGGTACTATAATAAAAGGTGTTTGTTGCTATCATTCTCTGCCCTGTACCCTTACTAAGTTATCTCTCATTTTCAGTACTATCCACATGTGAAAAACTATGGACTAGGCTTGTATACATGTCTATGTCTTTATATTAGAAGTTAAAATCTTAACCAATTTTTTAAACAAGCTGTAACATATTGACTTATTTCCATTTTCCATTCTTTTTACCTCCAAATAGGGGTTATTTACTTTGAGTAGTAGTAATAATAATAATAATAATAATAATAATAGCTCACAATTTTTGACACTTAAAACATGCCAGACATAGTTCTTAGTGTTTTGTATGTTTTAACTCATTTAATCTTCAGAATAATCCTCTGTGACATAGAGACTTTTATTATTCATGTTTTATAGTTGAGGAACCTGAGACCTAGAGAGATTAAGTCCAATGTGACACAGCTAGTGAATGGTCCAGCCTAGCTGAACTCAGGCTGATTGGCTCCATGGCCCACAGTCTTACTCAGTGTGTTACACTGCTTTCCTTAAGGTGACAGTGGTAATGCAGCAGGGCACTACATGCCCCATAGTTGTAGAGGAACAATTGCCAACATTTAGCTGTACATGTGGCATGTCCTTTACAGGATGCCTATAATCAAAGATAACCACCTCACCTCTTATTTTAGTTGAAGGTCTTTAAAAATTACAGTATAGATTATGTGTTTTGGTTTACACGTTCATATCAGGCTATTTCCTAATTTTTTATAGGTCCCGTTTTAAAATAATACTAAGCAAACTTTTATTCTTGTATTAATGTTTTGGAATTTTTGCCTCTAGTGGGTTTGTCCATGTGAATCACTATAGTCTGTCTAGTAGTATCTAGTAGTCTCTGTAAAATTGATAAAAGGTCTAAATTGAAATGTCTGTTTATATTCTAAGAAGAATATCTTTCACACCAATCTTTGGTGCAAGCCAATCAAAGACACATGCTGAGGTTTTGAGAATTAAATTGCACAACATACATTATTTGGTATAATTTTTGTCTCATATTCTCACCTAATAAGAGTACCAGGACTACATTTTTATCTTTACCTTAGAGGCATATTGAATATTGAAAACCACATGAATATCTTCACTTAGAAATTTACAAATTATCTTCCTTTTAAATATGACCCATCTCTAATTTGAGTTGATGGGTTATTCCTATTTACTTTTTTATATTTTTCTAAACTTTGATCTTTGTTATTCCTAATATGTCAGTGTTCAATAAAAACTCATATTCCTCATATGTCCTCAGTGCTCATTAAAATCTTTCATTAGTGATCTTCTTAAATGGACCATGAAGTTTGGGGCATAGCTCATGAAAATATAAATTTCAGGGTTACTATAAGTTATTTTTTGTGTTGGGATTATTCAGGTAACATATATAATTACATCCATATGTCACATACACACATATATTTTTCAGATAACATATATAAAAGACTCTAGTTTTTAAGGTTTTATTTGCAGTCATTTTAGTTTCTTACTAGCAGTAACATTTTTCAAGAGTAAGAAGTTAGTTTGACCTTGATTTTTCTAGGATAGTTTTTAATCATCTAAGTTACTGAATTGTCAACTGATAGGCATTGTGTTACTCTGTGTGTTTAAGAGTCATCCTTATTCATTGGTAAAAATAGTTTATTTTCCTCTACTAGTAGGGACATGCTCATTAAATATATAAATAAATAGACAAATCCAAGGGTACATTATTCATTTTGTAACATTTTATAACTTTTTTTGTGAAATATAACACTGAGTTTAGTGCACAAATCCTAAATTGAAACAATTTAATTTTCACAAAATGAATACAAAGATCCTATATCAAGAACTAAAACATTACCTGTACCCTTAAGCCCTCATAATTTACTCTTGAAAATATATTCTTTGTAATTAAGACATTTTCTCACAGCTTACACTTGAAATCCTTGAAAGAAGAAATTATTCTTTTTTTTTTGAAAGGAGAATGAACATACAATTGTTTATATTAATTTATATTAATGGTACTTAGCACACTAGTAATGGTGCTAAATAATTTCTTAATGAATTTGTAGAGTTTGTAGACTTATGTTGTGCAGGACTAATTTTTTGATGTTCCCATGGTTTTAAAATGAGATTTAAAACTGTTTACAGGAAATCACTTCCATCTAAAATTGTTACTAAGAATAGATATTATTACTATTTTAATATGCTAAAATAGTTTAAGCTTTGGATTACTTAAGTATTATCTTATAAAGCATTATTATTTTATATATAAAGGAACAGATGCCTACAATTACAGAATTTTTTTGTCATGTTTGTAAATAGTCTTCCAATCATATCTCCCAGGTATTCTCCCTGGTTTTTAAAATTATGTAAATACATAGGCTATCCATTCCCTTCACTAAGTCTTCACTATTAGTAAAGTTTGATGTGTTTCATCAGCAATATGATATAAAGCAATGGGTTTTCTATATTTCACACAGCACTGGGCTCTGCGAAGCGTCTCTGGGGGTTCTTTGATGTCTAGACAGTTTAAATTATGCCTGCTCCCCTGCCTCCGAATTCCACCCCTGTTCTGCTTCAGGGGTTGTGGGAAACAAAAACAAACCAGAAGGGTTCCACAGCCCTACAGTCCAGGGAAGAAAACAAACAAGTAGAATAAGCTGTATATCCACCCTGGCAGGTGTATAGGAAAGGGCCCAATTATAAGAGATGGAAAAAAAAAATGAAAATAATGGGAGGAAATATTGTCTGCCTATTTATTTGTGATTATATTTATTATATGGAAATGCATGTGCATTATTAACAAAATGAAACTTTATAGAAGTATTAGGGAAGAAAGTTAAAGTCATCTCTTCCCCCAGTACCCTGGTTCTTTCCTCTCCACCTCCCCATAGGCAGCCAAATCTATGACTTTGGTGGGTTTCCTGTATATTGTCCTATTTATTGAAATGGTAAGATAAAGAATTGTGTTTTAAGTTGGAAAACTAACTTTCTTTTCTTCCTTTCTTTTTGTTTTTCTTTTATAAATCGGGATATCATGGTTTTTCCAATTCATCTTGTTAGAAAGTAAGTAACTTTTGAAATTTCGGAGATTTTTCATTAAAACATTGATGCTTTATTACTTCATATACATATATACATATTCTGTTACAGGATTTTTAACTTTTTAATTCTGACCAGTGATTAACCTTTGTATTAACTGTGAAATAAAAGTGTTTTTTTGGAATGAACTAAAAATAAGAGATGTTACATAGGTGTTCATGCTATCTAAGAATACATACTTTTAGAGCATATCTGCCTCATTTTTTCATACTTACAGTTAATCATTATGTTTAATAGACATATGTGTGTGTATAAATATATTATGTATTTATTAAATTCATTTTTTTCTTACTATAAAAATATGTAAGTCAGACATTTACTTATTCCTGGTCAATAGCAGTTAAGACATATTTCTTCAGGAAAAGTTGTCTGAGATTTTATGGAATTGATGAGAATAATAGCAATAAGTAAATGGCATGAAAGATTTTAAAAATACATTTTCCTATCTATATTTTGCATTGGATGAATCAGTTACCTTTTACTAATTATTTATCTCTTTTGATGCTAATTTTTTATTGTTTTTAAATAAAATGGACCAGGATAGTGTTTTTTCCATGAAGAAATGTAAGTGATATTCTTAAAATTAAGTGACTTATCAGTGGTTGACTTAAAGTTGTGAAATTTGTATTTTGCATTTTGCAAAATATTTTCTAATTCTTTTAAAATGCAACTGTTGTATAAATTTGAAATAAAACATTTTGTTTTGAAAAAATTAGAAATTGCAATAGTTGTTGAGACTTTTAGAGATGTCGTGATTGTGAATTATATATTTTAAAATTTTACATAATCTTGAGTTTAAGTTAAAAAAGTATAATTTAATGACATATTCATGCTTACTAGAGCTCTTTATTTGTATGAAAATGTGTGCTTGTTGCATTTGTTTGCAGCAAGTATAGTATTAAATTGCTATTTAATAGCCAATTTATCTTCTACAATTATCTTAAGTTTACTATACCTTAGAAAGAAACTATAAATTATGATGTCATATTTGTTCTGTATTTCTTAGTTGTCTTTAAATCTGTGTTATTCTTCAGTATTCTAAATCTGAGTTTGTAGAATTGTGTCCATTTTAGAACCTTAGGAATTGAGAGCAGAAAGAATATTGTGAGGTTTCATGTTAGGTGGACAATTTTATTAAGTTACATTTTTAAAAGTCTACATTGTGTCATTTTTATGTATTGGATTCTATTTTACTTATGGTGTTAACATCTTCTTGCCAAGTCTCTATGAAAAGTCTGTATTTCTGACAGTTTCACTAAATTAAAACTCCAAAGATCTGGCATAATCATTCCCAGCTTCAAATTTTCTGTGCTTTTGTCTGAAGAGTATAATGTAAAAATATATACTTGCAGTGTTCAGTGAAACATGTATTGCATTATTTATCTGGAATTTATTCATGGAGAGACATTTCTGGGGAGATGAATATATTTTACATTATAGGTATGCCTGGGCCCACTTTAAATATAAGCAACAATTTTTTGTGAAGGAAAATAATGAAATGAGATCTGTAAGCTTGTAGAAGCTTCATGAGAAAAGATATTACATAAGCACACAGCATTATTACCATGTGTACTTTAGTGTTACAACGGCATTGTTCTATGACCAAATTTATATTAAGGACTCTTGTTTCTTGTCAAACCCAGTTGAATCATATTTACGTGTTGGCAAAGAAAAGCTGCTTCCTAAAATAATAATGGGCATTCATATTATGATACTTATAAACCTTTATAACTATGATGCATATGTATGCTGACTTGCTATTAAATGTGTTCTGGCAATTCAGCAAATTTGACTTTTTTGTCTTACTGGTGAATTTTCATAGCTAGTAAGAGATTTGGTAATCTTGGTTTTTAGAAAACTTTTAATTTAGTAGCACAAATTGTGATTTTATCCCCCACATTCAAAGTTTGAAAGCTTAATATCTTAAAGGCCCTATTGTCACAGAATATTTTGAACTAAATACCCATAATTCCTAAGAGGCATGTGGGATGAGGTAGAGTTTCTAATAAAAATGGGTTTGACAAAACATTGATCTTTTGGCATATTAGGAAGTAAAATGTATATGGAAACATGGTTAAATGAAGGCAGTCATTATAGCTCTAATTCTTAGCTTGCTAAACATTAGTTTGCAAGCAAAACACAAAAAGTGTTTTAACATATACCCCAGGAAATACATATGTATTATGTATTTCACAAGCATCTTTCCAAATATATGAATACATTCCAATAATGTTTATACAAATGTGCTGTAGTATTTTTAATCATTAGTTTAATGCTGTTTGATTTCTTTAAAAAATGATTTCATAATTCAGCCACTAACATCTTTGCCACAGAACATAATTATTAGCTGGGCAGGATTCCCAAACACATATTTCTTTATTTGACATACCTAATTGAGAAAAGGATGTCCTTGTAGAAGCTGTATCTGAGATATAAATACAGAAATGCATTTTTATTTGGCCATGTAAGAAATGCAGTCCTGTGAGTAACTTAAATACTTATAATTTCAAATCAGTTCTTCCCTGGTTTATTATTCTTTTGTTGCTTTTCAGCCTATGGGATGGAGCTGCCCTTGAACTTGATTTTTTTTTGATCATTCAAGTGCAACCATCAAGTTGTCAGTAATATTTAAAAACTGAGACTTCATGGTGTTATTTGTAAAATAACACCACACAAATGTTTGGGTTTTGGTTTCTTTAAAATATAGTATTGGTTGCTTTATGAATAAAAGCATAATTTCAAGTTAGGAGACTTTTTGCCTCAAGCCTATGAAACAGATGCATCTGATTAACTTTGGTGAAACTGGACTGGCCCTTTATTGTAATGTAGATGTTTTCGAGGTTGGGAGGATATTTTTAAAAGGCATGCAAAAAAAGGTCTTTTTTTTTCTCTTTTGAGAGACTCAGAGAACAGTTTTGCCATAGAAGCTACACCTCAGCCTGCTTCATTTTTGCACACTTTTTATTTTCTAGTGGAACCTCTCCATTAGCCTGTCTGAATGCAATGCTTCACACTAACACTCGAATAGGGGATGGAACATTCTTCAAAATCCCTGGAAAGTCAGGCCTCTATGCTCTCAAAGTAAGTTGGATTGTTCTGCATATTATGCCTGTTAAGTTATTACTGTATCATGCATTTTTTCAGACATGTGAAGGTAAACAAAATGAGATTCAGGTGAAGGGTAAAAGACTGACCCCCTATGCCTTCTAAGTATTTTCAGATGTCTTAAAAATGATTTCGTATTAAGAGTAAACAATGACATTTTTCTTTAAGGAAAGAATATCTGTGGTTTTACTCCATACATATGGTAATGGAAAATAGCTGTGGCTTCCTTATAATTCTTGATTCTTTAAAATTTATGGGGAGGGGTGTCCTGGGTCATCAGTCAGGATTTTAAAATGATCACAATTGCCATAAACTCTTTGGCTTAATGACCATCAGTTGATATACAGGATTCACACCTGTATGCCTTACTGTCTTTTATAGAAATAAGAAATTTATTCATTTTTTTGAAAACTTACTGATTTAAGTCAAGTATTTAGTTTTAAAACAAATGGTGATCTCAAGAGAGTTTTACTAATATGCACACTTGTTATAGGTGAATAGAGAAATAAAATCAAAAGCTTTAGATAACTGTTTTAATTATTTTACTTTTTAATTTCAGTAACTTTAGGGGGTACAACTGTGAATTACTTTGGTGGCATTCCCATTTCCATCTAGAATGGAAAATGCCATCTGCAGTGCAGAATTCCAAAGGATGAAAGCTTATGATCTACAAATGGCTGTGAAACTTGGAATAAGTAAATGCAGTGTATTATTTCTTATAAATTAAAAAGTCACTGCTTTACTAAATAATGGATTATATTTAGAGCTCATTAATTACTTTTGGGATTCTTATAAATGCTAAAAGTTATACCTGGCGAAGAAAGCAGGGATTCTTCCTCAGCTGTTAGGCATCAGGCTCTTGTCCCAGTGTGTTTCAGAAAATAATACAGGTTAATTAAAAAAAAAACTTATAGTTTTTCAGTTGCTTTTTGTAGAGCTACGTAGGATAGCAGATTAAGTTACTGATTAAAATTCTGAGTTGTTAAAGCATTTCTTTATGTAAGGAAGGATGCAGAATTGAAAAAAATGGAAACAACGTATGTCAAAAGGAAATTTTTTCATTTTGCTATCAATTTTAAAAGGTTATTCAAATAAACAACAGTGGCAATGGCCTTTTCTAAGTTTCCTTTTTTTAAGCAGTGATCAATTGAAATTCCAAATTATGAATAACTGTGATAATTCTTTAGGATACTAAAAGTATTTTGAATGTTTTTAGTTGCTAGTACATCTACATAAACCATCTTTTTTGAAAATAATATAGAAAGAGGAGTCGTCATGCCCAGTGGATGGCACGTTGGATTTAGTCTGTGAGTCTGAATTGGATGGTACAGAAATGGCAGAGGCAAATGCCAACGGAGAGGAGAATGGAGGTAAGCATGAGAAACCCTTGTTCTCTTAAAAGTTATATAGAATGCCAATAATTCACTAATTAAATTCCCCACCATGATAGGCACAATTTTCTTCTAACCACTTACAAAAATTTACCATCAGGCAGTTTTGAGTCAAATAGATTAGCATCTAAGAAAAGTGTATAGTTTTTGCCTTTTTGAACAGTGTGTGTTTCCCTGAATCATTTTCTCAATGTTACTAGTATCAGTATATTTCTCCTGGAAGGTGAGAGGGTTACTCGGGAGGTATCTACTGGATTTATTCTTCTGGGAAGACTGAGTATGCCAATGTTTTATTTCTGATTGTGCTGATTTTTCCTGGGATCACAAGTACTTTTATAATAGCTTTGTTCCTTGGTTTGTCCTTTGTAAATTAAGATTAGTGTTATCATTCTTCACAGTGAAACGAGGACCAAAAAAGAGATTTTCTTATTAAAGACATTTGAAAAGTGAGTGACCCTTCCAGAATTCTAAGGGGGGCATTTTCTACCTCTGAATTCTATCCTTGTGAATTCATTTTTATCTTCCTCAAGACAATCGTATTATGATTCTGTTAGTGTATGTAGTTCTATACTGCAATTTTGGCAAATCTGTGTCCCACAGTAGCTCCTATGTCATCTTCTACTCTACCCACTGGTCCCACAAATGGACACAGATCATGATTTGGGAGGAAAACTATGTAATTAAAGTCTCTGTCACTGGACTCACAGGAATCAGTAAATTACCTTTAAACAAACAAACCTTAGAGGATTCTTGCAGAAATATTGTATTTCAGTAATAAGCCGAAGTCATTTATTTTATTAATGGCCATGGGAGTCCCTTTGTGTGTTCTCTGCACGCTGACTGAACACTCCTGCCCTTTACACTTGCATGCTCTCTGTAGGCCCCATAAGACTGATGCTGCTTCAGTTCCTATCTAATCCGCAGCCGAAATGGTGAATTTACTGTTGGAAACACAGATCCTTGTCTTAGTAAAATTTTGTGAATTGGTAAAATCACAGCCTTAGTAAAAGTCTGCAGACTGCTTTATAGACTATTTTCCAACTTTCATTTGACTCAATGTACCTATTCCTATGCCTTCTGAAAACTCAGCCCCCATTGTTATGGTAATGATATGAATCTTGGCAGGTCCTTGTGGTTAGAAAGAGGACAAGGCAGAGATGCACAGCAATTTCTGGCTTTCTGGAAGGGCTGGCGAACAGGGCATACTCTTCCCTTTCAGTAGCATGAAGGAGAATCTCATGGTGCTCATTCCTGTTATTGTACTGCCTGATTGCTGGAGCACGCATGTGCTTGCTCTCCCAGCAAATATATTGAGCTTCTACTATGTGCCAAGCATTGTTCTTGACATTGCAGTTATAGCAATAAAAAGCAAAAACAAATCCCTCATGGAGCTTATGATCTTTGAGAGACAGACAGTAAGCAAAGTGAATAGGTAAAATGTACGGCTTATTCACTGGTGACAAGTGGTATGGGGCAAAATAAATGAGAGAATAAGAGTAGGGGACAGGGGTATGTTTGAAAAAAAAATCCTGAGGGGAGTGAGAGAACAGTCATTTAAGGCAAGAGAATTCTAGGTAGAGGGAACAGCAATTGCAAAGGCCTTAAAGCAGGAGAAGTTTCTGGAATGTGCCCGAAACAGCGAGAGGCCTGTGTAGCTGTGAGACCAGAGTGAACAAGGGAGAGGACTAAGATACAAAGCCAGAGAAGTTACAAAGTCCAGATTACATAGTGCCTTGATACTGGCTTTTGTTTTCAGTGAGATACTAAATCATTGCAGAGTTTTGAGCTGGAGAGACCAATGATTTAACTTAAATTTTAGTAAGATCACTAAGTACAAGAAACATATGAGAACAAAGACAAAAACAGGAAGACCAGTCAGAAAGCTATTTTCTTCATCAAGAGGAGAGGTGATGGTGATGTGAATCCATGGAGTAACAGTGGATGTGATGAAAAGTGACCGGATTCTGGATGTATTTGAAGATTGATCCAACAGGAGCCACTGGCAGATAAATGTGCATGTGAGGTAAAAAGTGGAGTTGGGGATAACTCCAAAGTTTGAGTGGGAGCAAGCAGAAGAATAGAATTGTCCTTAGCTGGGATAGAAGAATATGTAACAGCAGCAGCTTAAGGTAAGGGGGTTGTTGATCAGGAATTCAGTTTTGGACGTAGTGAGTATGGGATTCCTTTTCAACATCCAGGGAGAAATGTTAAGTAATTGAACTTATCTGTCTAAAATTCATGGGAAAAATCTTGCTGGAGATGTACATTTGGAAGTGGTCAGTTTATAGATGATATTTAAAGATGTGAAATTAGACGAGATCACCAAGGAATTGAATGAAGGTAGAAAAGAGGCCCAAAGACTGAGTTTAGGGATGCTTGAAGAGGTTGGAAAGATTGTAGAAAACAGCAAATGAGATTGAGGATAAATGGATATGGTAGCATGTTTTCTGTCATGGAAACCAGGTAAAGAAAGTGTTTCTGGGGATGAAGTGACTCAAATGTGCCAATGCTTTTGATATGTGATGTTATGATGAGGATTAAGGAATTAGCACTACCTGTAATCCCAGGTACTTGGAAAGCTGAGGCAGAAGGATCACTTGAGTCCAGGAGTTTGAGGTTTCAGTGAGCTATGATGATGCCACTGCACTTTAGCCAGGATGACAGAGAGAGATGCTGTGTCAATAAAAACAAGGAAAAGGAAGGAAGGGAGGAAGGGAGGGAGGGAGGGAGGGAGGAGAGAAGGAGAGAAGGAGAGGGGAGAGAAGAAAAGAAAAGAAGAAAGAAATTACCACTGAATGTACCTTTGTGAGGGTATTGCTCAACTTGACAATGACAACTTTTGTGAATTGATAAGATCACAGCCTAAATAAAATAACTTCAAGAGAATGGGAGGAAAGAAATTGGAGACCTCAAGTGTAGACAATTCTTTCAAGGAATTTTGAGGTAAAGGGGAGGAGTAAAATGGAAAAATATCTAGAAGGGAAAAAATCAAGAGAAAGTTGGTTTTTTTTTAAAGTAGAAAATATAATCATTGTTTATTAATGGGAACATTCCAGTTGTGAACAAATTGATAATGTGAGAGGGGTACACTGTTGTCTTGTGCTTGATTAGATGAGGGGAAATGGAACCTATTCAACATATGAAGAGATTGGCATTAGCAAGGGGTGTAGACCGATATCCTAAAGAAGGCAATGGGAAAAGTCAAAGTACTAATATTTCAGTAAAAGTGAAGGTAAGTGAGTCCATGTAGAAGGGGCTCATAGAAGTTTGCTTCTTATTGCTTTATTTTTCTCAGTAGTTTCTTACTTCACTGAGGGTGAGGATAGGGGAGATAATTTTGTAGATTTAAGGAGAAGATATAAAATGGTTATCTAAGAGAATCTGATAGCATTAAAGACAATCTCAGAGTTACTAATCCTGAATGTAATGTGAGGCCAACCACATGGTTGTATATTTTGCTCCAGTCATGGTCAGGACTGCTGTACAAGTGCAGAGTAGATGTACATTTAGATTTGACTGGAGCTGGGGTCTTGCCAAATGCAAATGATAAAGCAAGAGAGGGCATATGGAATGGAATAACTAAGGTGCACATCCATAGAATTTAAGTTGGATGTGGAGGCAAGAGAAGACACAGTTGTGTAAGAGGTGATATAAAGAAGGAAATCTCACTGGTGTGGAAGGATTGTTTGATTTGGTGTCCTAAAGAAAATGAATTGGAAGCAGAGGCGATGTGAGAGTGGAATATATGGAATTGAATTTAGGGTACTACTATGCAATGTATTTCCTAAGATGAGAGGGAAGAAGGGAGCTAGGTTTAAGGATATCATGAGTGATTAGGCCATGTTTGCACTCTTCAGAATTGTCTGATTGAGTGGCCTGCCAGTGGCTGAAATTTAGCACCCCTCCATTTGGCTAGCCTAGTACTGTGTGTTGGGGCTGGGTCTACCAGGAGGAAAGATTGCCTTTTCTTATTTGCATAAAGCTGTCCACTGGCATAAGATATTAGAGAATCATCTGCATGGATATTGAAACAGACAGTCATGATAGAGGTAGCATGGACAATATGTAATATTCATATTTCAGAGATAAAATCATCAGAAAACAAAGGAGAGTAGGATACATACAGCAAGGAGGAGTAGTTGGTGGTATAGTCTAATGACATGAGCTACGACACTAGAGGCAACAAGGGAGGGAGCCAGGGAGGGAGAATGGTCTTGGAAGGAACATGAATATAGGTGAATATAGGTCACCAATTCCATTTCGAGGCCCAGTATACAATAAATGTGGAAAAGAAAAAGGCTACCACCTGAGAAAATTCCAGGAAAACTAGTGTTCATAGGAGACAGCTGGGGTTTGTACATCAAAATGTGAAGGGACTGTTCAGGGAAAAGATAGAGGTTGCAGGAAAGTTTGCTAATGACTAATCCTGAATTCCAGAGGAAACAGTGGGAGAGTTTTAGTAGTTGGGAAAGGGCAGGAGATGGCAGGAGAGCATTCAGCTAATAATTAAACCAAAGCAGGAGTAGGCAAACTCCCCTAATTTGAAATGTGAATAGGTACCTCACAAAATAGCACATACCCACACAAATCTAGCTAATGTGACCAAAATTAGATTTCCTGGCCTTTCCTTTGAAGTTGCATTCGGGAAATTGCTTTGTGGAATCACTGAAAGAATAGTAAATAGCTATTTCCTTGAGTATTCCTTGATTTGCTCACTTGTGCATCTTATTGCAAACCACAATTGCTTCTTGTAGGACAAGTATATTTCCTATCCTGTGTAAGTACTGTATACCTCTGTGTGTAGCCCATCAGTCTAGCTTCAGGAAGCGTTTTCTAAGCTAGATATTAAAAATATATTGAATTATTTATTTTATTTTTTTTACCAGTGAAGAAGCATGTTTAAATGTCTCATGCAAATCTTAAGCCCAGGTGTGTGTGACAGCAAAGGCCAGGCTCTAACCACTCTGGCACCCTGCATA